CATTTTGTGCCGCTGCATGCAGCGAATGCGAGACAGTAGCCTGCTGAAAGCTAATAAGATCTGAAATCGCAACCACTTGAGCCTGCACGGCGCTCTTTCATCTTCTCACAGTAATAAAGAAAATTATTGTCCGCCCACCAACTATGACCCAGCTCCTAACTAGCATCATCCATCCATTCAGTAGAGTTAAAATTTTGTGAAATATGTTAGTGAGTGCGTATGTGTGTGTGTGTGTGTGTGTGTGTCGGAGGATTTACGGGAACCGAAATGTAGAAATGTGTTATATCTTAGAACTTTACATAAACTTTGTGATTGTGACAGTAATACAAACTCAGATGAAAAACACACAACAGATGACTTGAATCAAGACGCACAACAGATCTGAGTCGATCCGCAAAGGGAACAGGACGGCTGACTGTGGCCAACCTCACATAAATTGACACCAGGGAGAAATATCACTAGAACGAGACGACGTTGACGAAGACGATAGACGAGTAGGACCTCAATTGCTAAGTGAGGCTACTTTTATACGGTGGAGATTCTGTTAGTTTTGGAATGCATTCTGTCGCAGTAGAGGATATCCGCTAGGCATTAGCAACCGGTACTGGGGCTTCGGAATCTTCGAGCTTGGCTAACGCGACTTTGGGGGAGATTTTGCCTTGGGCAAAGTAATGCGTCAGCGAAGATACCAGAACTTAGGGTGTGGGAACAGATCCCGAGAAATATCTTGTTTTTCGTTTACTTCTCTTGTTTCTATTTTTCCTTAACTTTTCTTAAAATATTTCATCCAAAACTTTTGTATCATGTTCCTCTGTAGTGAAAAGAGTGAGGGGAATGGGGGGAGGGAGGAGAGATGAGGGGAGGGGGGGAGGGGAGAAGGGAAAGGGATCTGGCCTTTGTAATCTTTCTTATTTATCCTTACCTCTTTTACGTAGTTCTTTTGGAACAATTTTTTTTTGAATAACGAAACCTCTGTCGTTAAAGTAATGATAAAAAATAATACCGCAGTTGAATTCTTCCCTTTTATGCGCTTTTGAATATATGCAAATGCAGCAACGCATATTTTGACGGCCCACAGTGTGCGTGTGTATGCATGTGAGCGTCTGTTCGGGTATTTCAACGCTGCAACTAAGCAAGCTTCCGCGCTGAAATTTTGCGGTGGGTTCCCCGATCAAGTGCTACCCCAGGACTGCGGTACCAACCCCTGCGCACATCTGGACTCCGCGTATGAGCATGTGAAAGTTTTAGCGGGAAAATCGCTAACTCGGGGATCAGAGAAGCTGGGAGGCCGAAACTTTAAGGGGATGTTGCGTAAGTGAGCCTTTTGTT